GCTTTTGAAAATGTATGATTATGTATAGGTATTGGGACGTAGTATGGTATGAATCAGGAGAAACACCAGTAACCGATTTGTGAGTTTTCAAATCTCTTTCTTTGTATCTTTTTACGATTTATATATTTTTCGAATAATATTACATACGTTGTAACAGTTTAGTAGGAAAAGAATTCGACGTTGTAAATCAAACAAGTGAGCATGTCGAAATTTCATTTTCGAGAAAATGGGATATATCTCAACGCGGTTCGATAGCCCCATTAAACGTAGACAAAAGGTACGTCAACATGTTATACTAATTTTGTTTTCCAAAATATATTGTTTGAAGAATTTTAATATAGATTAATCATAATAGAAAATAATTTTCTTTAAAGGTATATTATTCGAAGAGGTGTGTCTGGAGTATACATGTACGCTGTGTTAGAGAGGTTAAAAGGTTGGCCAGACGTGGACATGGATCAAACCAGGATCGTTTTCAAGCTTAACACAACAAAGTATAACCATTATATTTTTTTCTAAAATTTTAATTAATAGCTTAGTGTTTATATGTTGTGATTGAGAAACGAAACTATTATTTTTATGGAACATTTTTTCAGATTTGATTTCATGGCTATATCGGATTCTCGGCAGAAAATTATGCCTTCTGCAACAGATCGAGATATCACCAATGGTCGTGCTAGTCCATTAGCTTACAAAGAAGCTGTTCGTTTGATAAATCCAGAAAATCACATACTTAAAGGGCAGGTATATAGAAATATATACGTTAACAAAAAAATAATCCAAAATTTGTATATAGACTTCTATCCATATATGATGATATTTAACTCTATTAATTTTTTTTTACGAACCTTGAATATTTTACTTATAAGAAAAACCAGTACCAAAAGGACATGCAAATCACTTTAAATATTTCGCCTTTGGGGTTATACATCATAAGTAAATTTAAAACTTTTTTTTTTCTTTGATATAATAGTAAATATAAAACTTCTCATAACTAATAAGTCAAATTTAGATCATTGGATTAAAAATGTTTTTTTACTAATTGGGATGTAACGCAGGTTGATGATAAGTATATGTATTCAAAGGAAGACAAAGACAATAAAGTACACGGTTGGATTTCGACGGACCTAAGTATCGGCTTCTGGATGATTACTCCCAGCGATGAGTTCCGTGTTTGCGGACCCCTAAAACAAGATCTCACATCTCACGTCGGACCAACCACTCTTTCGGTAAGTCCATCCCCCTCTAAATAAAACCCTCAATTTCTATTTTAATATAGATGTTGTAATATTATTAGATATATATTTTTGCTAAATATTACTAAATATATTGAAATCTATTTGGTGTAGTGAAATCTATTTCTGTTAAATTATTCTCTTGATTGATTTTAATATTATTGGGTTTTTAGATGTTTACAAGTGTACATTACGTGGGAAAAGATATGAACACAACTTATATAAGCAAAGAGCCATGGAAGAAGGTGTTTGGTCCTGTCTTTGTTTATCTCAACTCTGCTTTCTCTCCTAATCATCTCTGGANCGATGCTAAACAACAGGTCTCGTCCCCGTATCAATGATCCATTATATTTCAATCAGTTCTTATAATCATGATTAATTATTGTTTATGCACATTTAAAAAAATTTAAAACAATTTTATAGATGGATGCAGAGGTCCAAAGCTGGCCTTATGATTTCGTGAAGTCTGTAGATTATCCTCTTCATCACCAGAGAGGAACAGTCAAGGGTCAATTCTTTGTCATGGACAGGTAAATAAATACTTTTTCTCTGATGATATTCTTAAAATATTTCTTTGAATACTGTTTTAAAATCCAAATGTGACATTATGAAATCGGTAGATACATAAACAGGTCAGAGTCATTCGGTGAATTTGCTTTTGTGGGTTTGGCATTACCCGGTGAAGCTGGTTCATGGCAAACCGAAAACAAGGTACTACTATATAAATTAATTTTGTAATAATACTACTGGCATGGTGGCTACATCAAAGTTTAGGTATAAAATATGTTATATTACATGAGTTTTGTATCAAAATGTATCTGATGAATTCCTTTAAATGTGAGACTAACCTAGAGTCGACGACATGACTTAACTCTTAAACTAACGGTTTTTAATAATGTTTCAAAATAAAATTTGGACAAAGGGATATCAATTTTGGACACGAGCAGACAAAATGGGGATGTTCACAATAGCGGATGTGAGACCAGGGAATTATAGTCTCTACGCATGGGTCACTGGATTTATTGGTGACTATAAATACGAGCATGGCATTACCATCACACCAGGTAAATTTAATTTATTTTATATGATCATATCTTCTAAGAGCATCTCCAGTATTTCATGGAGATACCCTTAAACATTTTTTATTAAATTTAATATTTGCTACTTTTAATATAATTTAGTTATGTTATTAATTATATTATATCAGTCTCTCGTGGATATCTCACAGAGACTCTTGTCATGGATATCTCATTTTCTTTTTTCCTTTTTCATATTTTTAATATTATTCTAATGTAAATATCTCATTTAGATATCCCTATTGGAGATGCTCTTAAGACCATCTTTAACCGTGAAACCTTAAGGTTTCATGTGATTAAAAAATATTAAAAATAATTAAAAAGCCAATTATTTTGGTTATTATTGTGTGAGACGTATCAACACATTGAGACCCAAGAGACGATCTCATGGAATCTTATGGAACCACGTGGCGAGTTAGGATTGAGCCATTGAGATTTTGATTTTTTTTTTAGCTAAATAGTATATATCATTAATGAAAATAAAAATTTAGGA